CAAAAATTTCTTCTCTTCTTTCCTTTCTAGACCGACTGTGGAATATTTCCATTTGCCTTTGGAATGTAGCGTGTTTTGAAAATTTTGCAAAATATCATATTTAGCTGTTTCTTGTAATGAAATTTCGTATCTATGTTGTATATATAAAAAAACGATAAAAGCTAATGTCAGTCTAACATACCTATCTGTCTATCCACTCGTTTCCTATCAATAGAATTTACACGCCCCCAAAACCTTATCAAAAGAGCAAACTAAGTATGAAATTTATACTTATCGCTGCCATTAGTTTAAATGCAAAAACCACTAAAATTCTGAATGAAGTCTCCAACATTTGTCAAAGATGGATAATCCAATTAAAAAATTCTTAAATGCTGCACTACTTACTACTTACAGTAAGCAACTGTATTAAGTTTGTGCCGAACGAAAGCCAAAAGAAATTGAGATAGATATATATAGTCGTATACAGTCAGCGCCATTGTCATGATTACATCGGCTTGAACATGTCGGTCCGTCTGACTGACTATATATACTTAAAACAATCTTCAAATCGCAACTTTAGAGATATTTTGATGAAATTTGGTACAACCCAAGCACTAAGGTTATTGAAAATGGAATAAATTTAATTTAATATTTTTTCTCGAAATATTTTGTCTTGAAAAAATGTTGCCTCTTTTAATATTTCTCTTCGATGGAAAATAATATTGTGGCATACTAGATGAAAGTAAAGATGTTAGATTGGGTAGACCATTTTTTTGGTCTGGTGTCTGTCGTTGTAAACTTATGTTCAAGCTACAGGTCACAATTTTTGGTATACTTTGGATAAAATTTGGTGCAGTGACGCTTTTTTTGGACCCAAGGACGAACGGTATTGAAAATGGTTCGGATCGACCACTCCCCATTACTTCCTATTTTGAAAAGTCATTATAAGAAAAAATTTTTCGACAACAATGGATAGGTAATAGTATTTCGAAATTCGAAATTGGTGGGAAAGCTGTGGACCGACTGGGATAATTTTTGGAATTCCCTCTCTTATAACTGTTCCTACAGAAACTGAAGCTGTATATGGTAAAAAGGTTGAATTGAAAAAGACGAAGTAATCTACCTTAGCGAATTTGGACCACGTATGTCTATTTTTTGAAAACCACCAACTATAAGGATTCTTGTAAAACGTAAATATCTAATTGTTAACTTTTTTATGATAAAAATCTGTTCATGATGGTAATCAAATAAAAAAATTAACCACTCACCATGATAGCTCATAAGTAGTAAGCCCTTTAGAAAAAGGCTTAATTTTTAATATTTTATGATGAAAATTAGTTCATAGTAGCGTTTCAGTAAAAAAGAAATAAAGTGGAGGAAATTTGGTTCACGTAGGTCTATTTTTTAGGACACCACGCTATCACGAAACGCAAGCTCTTATATTTAGAAGAAAATCGTGACTTCCAATATGAGGGCTTTCATCAAAATTTTGGCTTTGCATTGAAATAATGTGTACGTTGTGCTGTACTATAACCAAAACGAGCGAACAACTGCACTACTCAAAGTTGTGTATGGTATGTAATAGTCGGCGTCGCTCGACAAAATCCAAATTCCAAAAAATCGTAATAGAAAACCTTATAAAAGCATACAACACCATACCTACCTACAATTTTTTGATTAAGGTACCTAGAGAATCCTACAAAATTATAAAGGGTATGAGGGCAAAATTCGAATTTAGCTCATGAACACACTTACCAGAGTAGAGGCAACGTTGGTTTTAACAAAAAAAAAAAATTAAATAGACAAAATACTATAACTCTTTAAGCAGCTATGGTTTAGGAAATAACATGTATAGGCGATGTAATGGCGTTTGGATAGGCGATGCAGAGGGGTACGCAAAGGGGTATGCATGTGGGCATGTGTAGGGTATGCATAGGAGTGTATATGGGCGTATGCATAGGCGATGTATAGCGGTACGCGTCTGGGTATGCATAGAGGCATACAAAGGGATGTGCTTAGTGGCATCCGTAGCAGAGTGCGTAGAAGTATGCATAAGCTATGCAAGGCAACTGTTGCCTCTGCGCTTAAATATATATCAAGACAAACATATGTAAAAGCATTTATTGCCTTTGCCTTAAAATGTATGAATTTTGTGAACTTGAGGGTACTAAACTTTATCTTGTGCTTAGTTAAGAACAAACTTTTCCAGGCAAATATACCGATGTCTAAGATATATAAAACCTGTTCAAATCCAATCATATCCTGATCTTAACCCCTTAGCGGAGCTCTATTTGGACGTTGGCAGAGTTCTGTTAAGGAAGTTGGCAAATGCCTTTGCTGGTTAAATTCGAATTAAATCGAAACTAGTGTACCATAAATATATGATTTGAAATACATATGTCATGCCACGATACGGCACGCTACAATAAAATTTATCCTCGAATCGTCTACACGAATCATACGTAATGCAATGCTTTAATCCTAAACCGAATATTAATAAGCTTATGATCCTTTACGGTTATATAAGAAAAAATATCATCGTTCTTTATTCACACAGGTTATTATTTTGGATACATTCATTATGTCGTTACCGCATTATGTCGTTGATATGCGTTCTGATACAGTGAGTTCACCTACAATTGAAATGCGCGAGGCTATGTGCACAGCTGCTGTAGGTGATGATGTTTATGGCGAAGATCCGACTGTTTTAAAACTAGAACAGAAATCAATTGATTTATTCAAAAAGCAAGCGGCCCTTTTTGTACCTAGTGGAACTATGGCAAATTTGTTAGCCAGTAAGTATTACAATGATATCGCTATTGATCTAATTTCTGTGAATTGTAAGCAAAAATTAGTGTCCCTTGATGGATATAATTTATTTATTGAATATGGGCGTATCATTTGGGCGATCGTGATTATTTTGATATCATTCTGATGAAAATATATATACCAAAATATTGATCAGTAACCGCTATGGATTGTAAATTACTTTTCTTGACTATTTCAGGCCTGATCGCCCGCGAGTTGTATTCATTTTCTAGCTAAACTTTCTATTCTGGTCATCAGCTGGCAATGTAAAGTTTTTATTCAAACTTTGACGTTTAGGGTTACAATAACAGGTTGTAGGCAGACGGGGGACTTTCAGGCACAGCAAAATCGAAAAATTTTATAATGAATTGCCTGACAAAAGGATTACCTTGATAGGTTATATTATGTAAATTTTTAGAATTAAAATTAAATAATTAATAGAATTAAAATTAAATTAAAAAATAAAAAGATAAGCTAAACAAGCTACTGGGTATAAAGGTTTCAATCCTTTTCTTTTTAATTTTTAATAATTCATCAAAAATTATATTTTTATTAATCTTATTTTTAGGATCAATAATCACAATTTCGTCTAATTTGCCGTTAGGGATATGAATAGGGTTAGATATTAATTTATTGTCTTTTATCCCCCTCATTAGAGATAGTAAATTATTATCTACTAAAGTCTTTATTAATATATTTTTTAACTCAAGCCTTAGCATTTTCTATCCTTTTATTTTCTATTATTTTATTTTTAAATCGATTTTAATAGAAATCTTAATTTAAATGAGATTATAATTTCATCTGCCTTATTATTAAAAAGAGGATCAGCTTTGTTTCATTTTTGATTCCCAACTGTAATAAAAGGTTTGCCATGAATAAATTCTCTACTACTATTATTAACTTGACAAAAATTAGCTCCTTTAATGCTAATTTCTTATTCTTTATCTAATTTACTTGTTATCAGACTAACCATATCAGGTTTAAATCGAGCTATCGAAGGTTTAAATCAAATATCTTTACGAAAATTAACTGCTTATTCTTCTATTAATAATTTACTAGGATAAACAATTCCCTCGAAATTTATAAATAATTTATTTTCAAGATTACATTTTATAATATATTCCTTTTTTTTGTTTTTGCTTTTCATATTTAATACTTTTAAATTTTCT